TAGTGTTCCGTAGAACGATTCCAGCCTCACAGCCACCCTGTAGTGCTCCGTGGAAGGATTCCATGTTGTTTCGAAGGCTGTACATCCCGATGGAAACAGACTGCCTCCATTTCCTCCTACAGAGTACCTGATGGATTCAAACCACTGGCCTTTCAGTTAGCAGCCCAGTGCTTAACCCTCTGCACCACCACAAGCCACACCACAAGCCAGCCAACAATCAACCAACTTTGCCGTCCAGTCAATCCTGACTCACAGCACTCGTGGGACAGGGGAGAGCTGCTCCCTAGGGTCTCGGTGCCTGTAGCTCTTGGTGGCAGCAAAGAGCCTCATCTTCCTCCCGAGGGATGGCTGGTGAGCTTATGGTTAGCAGCCCCATTCATGACCCGTGACACCACCGGGGCTCCGTAAGAGAAGATATTTGCATCAGGAAAGCTCTATTGCCCTCGTTTCTTACTTCGTCAGATTATCATCAACAACTAGTAAAAATTGAGCGGAAAAGCAGTAACAAGAAAATCAGGAGGTTTCTCGGGTCTCAGAGTTTGGTCTTAAAATGGTTGCGCACCCAAAGCCATGGAAGAGACCAGGTTTAAGGTGCAGATAGAGATAGGCGGGGCCCCTGTCACCTGTAAATCTTCAGTGTAACTCTCTCCCAACTGAGCTATTTCGGCTCCACTGTCAGTCACCTTTATGTAGAACAAAAGCCGTTGAAGATCCAAAGGGTAGCACTGACCCAAGGACCGGGTAGACAAGAAGGAATGCTGGGAACGGGAAGCACAGGGTTGAGCAGGAGAAGCGAGGGTGCGTGAGGGCACTGAAGTGGACGGTTGAAAGCAAAGGTGTAGGAATTGTTGAATGGAAAGCCCATGGTTTGTAAACCTTTGCCCGATTGGCAAGAAAAAGTGTTTTAAATGTTGAGTATCAGTTCATCTTGTTGAATCATATTACCACTTTGACTTCATGGAGTCAAACATTTTGCCTCTAAACAGAATGTTCTAGGGTTTAAACCTGGGGACCCCAGAAGTGAAGCCCCAGGCTGAGTCAGGTCCACAGCAGGCACTCAAGCCAGACCCCCACGTTGCCGCTGCTGCTCTTGCCGCAGCACCTCTCTAGCCGGACACTCGGTTTATGATGACCATGTTCGTGTGCTTTGCCTGTTCAAGCTCTTCGACTTTGATCTGGAAGTCAGGCCGATGCTGGAAGTGCTGGTGGGGAAGACCATCGAGCAGGCCCTCCTGGAAGTCATGGAGGAGGAGGAACTGGCCAACCTGCAGGCCAGTCAGAACGCCTACGAGGAGCTCCGCAGCATCGAGCTGGCCGAAGTGCAACGCCTGGAGGAGCAGGAGAGGCGGCACCGGGAAGAAAAGGTACACCCCGGGTTCCTCTCTCTGGGGCGCCTTGGGCCGAGGAACACACCCTGCTCGTGCGTGTAGGCGCTGTGTCTTAGAGCCAGAGGTCTTTGACAGAAGCAGAAAAGGGCCTCTCACATGAGTGTGCCCACCCCTCTTCTCTGAAGAGGCCCTTCATGGACTGAGTGCCCTGTGTCAGTTTCTAAGAGTTCCCAGATGGAACCACGCGCTTGACAGACCCTGCAGTAGAAGGGACTCAGATGTGAGCAGGGCCCTAGAGAAAGAAAGGCGAGGGGCTTCATGGGAGGTGCAATTAAAAGATGGTGGGATTTGTCCACATGCTTTCTGAAGCTCCCTCGGACGTTGATCTGCCCAACGTCAGTGGCAGAAGAGGTGGAAGGAAGCAAGGACCAGGTGGGATGTAGCGGGGCCAGTGGAGAATGAGAAGCAGCGAGTCAAAGCAACTAAACTTCTGCTATCAGCAATAGCCAGTAGTTTATAATAATTAAACACACATGTAACCATCTCTACCCTTCTGATGCTATCCCCATAGTCAGACTTGTATTCCTTGAAATTATTTCACTTGAAAATGGAAGCGATGAGCTTGACCTCAAGCCCCCTCTTTCATACTAGTCTGAATTCAGTATCCATTCGTGTCCATTGAAAACCATGAAGATCTTGATTTCTTTAAAAAAACAAAAAACACACTATCCTTGAATGTTGTTGTTAGGTGCCCTCGTCAGCTCCAACTCCTGGTGCCCTTACAACGAACAAAACACCGCCCGGTCCCGCACCATGCTCACACGGCTATGTTGGAGCTCAGTGTTGGCAGCCACGGTGTCCATCCAGCACACCGACGGTCTTCCTCATTGTCACTTCCCTTCTTTTCCAAGCATGATAGTCTTCCCAGGGACTGGTCTCTCCAGTCCAAAGTATGAGCGGCGAAGTCTTACTGCCTTCAAAATACCAGTGTTCCCTTCTGTTGCACTTGGGCCTGCTACTCCATGTGGGTTAGGTGGCACCTAACAACAGCAGCAGCAGTTTGGGGATCAGACGGTGCTAGACTCTGTGCTGGGTGTTGGAGATGAAGCAATAAGGCCAGGATGGTGAGCTGTACCCTCTTCCAAGCGAGATTTGCTTGTCCTTCTAGCTGTCTGCCATACGCTCAGTGTCCTTTGCCAGCACCCTAATCCAGAAGAGTGGTGCACTTGAATTGTGGTGTCGGGGAAGACCCTTTCGTAGAGGTCTTCTGCTGACACCAGGCAGCTATCCCCGCTCGCTTCCCTGGGCTCAGCTTTGGGAAGGGCCGCAGCGGGCAGCGACACAGCCTCTCTCCTGCAGGAGCGCCGGAAGCAGCAGCAGTGGGAAGTCACCCACAAGCACAATGAAACTGCGCAAAAGATCGCCGCCCAGGCCTTTGCCCAGCGCTACCTGGCCGACCTCCTCCCGTCGGTGTTCGGCAGTCTCAGAGACGGCGGCTACTTCTATGACCCCATCCAAAGAGGTTTGTGGTGGTTTGGCTGGAGTCCCTGTTCTAGCAAGCCCCCTCTGAACAGTGCACATTCAACGCCTGCCCATTGTGTACTGAATTGGAATCGTCCCTTCTCTGCAACAGGTGTGAAAGTCAAGGGTGGTGGCATCAGGTGTGCATCATCACTCATAAGTGGCGTGTTGTAAAGACCTTGGTCTCAGGTTGGCCTTTTCTCCATGTCTGTGTTGGGCCGCTAACCACAAGGTTAGCAGTGTGAGACCACCAGCTTTCCGAGGGAGAAAGATGGTGCTTTCTACGACCGTAAAGGGTTACAGTCTCATGAAAAAATACTAATTTATAAATTATCAAGGGTTCATGAAGGAGAAAGGGTTGGGGAGGAAGGGGAAAAAGGAGAAACTGATTCTAGGGACTCAAGTAGAAAGAAAATGTTAAAAAACAGTAATAAAAATGTTTTGAGAATGATGATGGCAATAAATGAACAGATGTGCTTGACACAATGGATGGGTGGATGGATTGTGATAAGCGTTGTATGAGCCCCCAATAAAATGATTTTTAAAAAAGAAAGAACACATTTCAAAAAAGAAAAGAGTTACAGTCTCAGAAACCCCCAGGTACGGTCACCCTGTCCTGTAGGGTCACAAGAAGGTGAGCTGTGTGCCCCCGACTGAGGTTTGGGCCCGGCTACACCACTAAGGTGGCACCTTCCTCATCTGTGAAGTAAGACTTACATAGAGAAAACTTGGAATAAGCTGTAAAGTACTCTGTCTGTGTAAGCAGTGGAGGGTCAACTTTTTCTCAGCCCTTGGGGGACAGCTGTGGATGTCATTCATTTATTTAACAGATGCTAATTAGGTTTGAAGGATCCCTAATGGCACTGTGGGTTAGGTGTTGGGCTGCTAACCTCAAGGTTGGTGGTTCAAGCCCACCATCTGATCCACAGGAGAAAGAGGAAGCTGTCTGTTCCCATAAAGATCCATTGCCTTGGAAACCCGAGAAGAGGGGTCACTATGAGTCAGAGTTGACTTGATGGCGGTGGGGTTGGGTTTTAATTAGGTTAATAGGAGAAGGCATAGGTCCCTGGTGGCGCTGGGCTGGTAACCACTAGGTCAGCAGTTTGAAACCACCAGCCCCTCTGAGAGAGAAAGATGAAGCCTCTGCTCCCATAGAGATTACAGCCTCAGAATCCACAGGAGTGGTTGTACCCTTGTCTGGTGGGTCACTGTGAGCCAGAACCCACTCCATGGCAGTAAGAGGACGCCGAAGGCCAGAGGAAGGGCCTCAGCAGGATGGATGCGCGGTGGCTGCAACAATGGGTGCCTGCACAGCCAGGGCCGTGTGGCGGTCTCAGGAACAGGCCGTGTTTTGTTCTGTCACCCAATCGGGGAGCAGACTTGATGACCCCTACCGACAGCAGCAGCAGTTCAGGGCTCAGACTGTGTCGGGCTCTGTGTTAGTCATAGGGGATGAGACCGGAAAGAGGGCACGGCCTATCAGCTGTCGTTTGGCACCCGTTCAAGGCAGCCCTCCTGGGCTCGCCTGGCCACAGGGAAAGCAAGTGTCAGCCCCTGCTCATACCGCCACCTCCTTCCTGAGGCGAGACACAGGCATCCATCCGCAGGGCTTGGCAGTAAGCCCTGTTTCCTTTCATAGCTGGGGGCAGGCGTCGATCGTGTTCATCGTCAGGGGTGGCAGAGCCTTGTCCCTGTGGTCAGATCACAGAGGGTCCTCCGAATGCTTTATCTCCTGGGTAGGGAGAGCCGTGGCAATTCCCACTTTTCAGACATAGAAACGAAAACTCAGAGAAACTACACACTGCTCCCAAAAGGCTCATCTGGCCAATGAGCATGTTTAGATCTCCGCTCATCTCGAATTCTGACTCAGCAGAGCCAGAATGCTTCCTCCCTCCATGAGCCACAGCCTGTCCTCTCCTATAGCCTGTCCCCTGAAGGGACAGAACTCAACTGTAGATCCCTTCACAGCCAGGGAAACCCATGAGGCCCTGCTAACCACAAGGCCAGTGGTTCAAAAACCACCAATGCTCCAAGAGAGAAAGATGAGGATTTCTACTCCTGTAAAGAGTTGCTGTCTCAGGAGCCCACAGGGACAGTTCTACTCTGTCCTGAAAGGGTCCATACGTTTTGAGTTGTAGCCATGAAGACAATAATCTTTCATTCTCTCAATTGTTAACCTACTAAAAATAATAACTAGATGCCTGCCACCTCCAAACCAAACCAAAACTCAATGCCCTTGAGTCCGTGACGACTCATAGTAACGACAGCTTAGGGTAACTGCTCCTGTGAGTGTTCGAGACCGTCGATCTTTAGGGAAGTACAAAGTCCTGTCTCCCTTCTGCAGGGTGGTTTCAAACTGCTGACCTGGATGTTAGCAGCCCAATGAGTACTCAGTGTGCCTCTAGGGCTCCCTGTCTGCCACCCTCATGACCCCCCACAAAAAGAAAAAGTCCTGATCAGCTTCCTTCAAGCCCCAGGCCTCAGGTGGGAGCCCTCTTTGGACAAGCGTGGCCCAATCCCAATCTGCACTGCTTGCGTTGAGGTTCTGGTCCCACTACGTCTTTGCCTGCCTCACGGCGACCTCCAAAATCAGTTTTGACTCCTGAGAAAGTCTCCTAGTTCCACAAATTGCTTTTCTACTACAATGCGAGGAAACAAACCAGAACACTCAAGCAAACCCTCTCACCCACAGCAACCCTTAGCGGGCAGAGGAGAACTGCTTCATAGGGCTTCTGAGACTGTAAACATTTACAGGATCAGACGGCCTCATCTTTCTCCTGCAGGGCAGTTGCTGGGTTTGAACCACCGACCTTGCAGTTGGCAGCCCAGTGCCTATCCCATGACACCTCAAGGGCTCCTCAGCAGACCTGTCTCCTCCAAAACCAGCCAAGGAACTCAGCTCAGTTGTACTCTGGCTTTGCTAATGAGTCAATGTCTCATTTCATATCAAGAAAACGCACATGGAAAAAATAGATTTTTTTGCATCTATAATAATTTGGATGGTTTGTCTAAAAATTGCATCAATGAAAGTAATTGTGTGTGTGTGTGTGTGTGTGTGTGTGTGTGTGTGTGTGTGTGTGTGTTACAGATATCGAGATGGGATTTCTTCCCTGGCTGCTGAATGAAGTTGACAAAACCGTGGAACACAGCATGTTGGGCAGGACAGTGCTTGACAGTAAGTCCTTCTGATTTATTTAAAAGGCCTGTTCAGCCAAATTGCATCAGATATCAGCAGTGTAGTTTGAGTATTTAAGCACTCAGGATGTTGACTATATGAACAAAAGTTGTGTATTCTTACCCTCAGTATTATTTTTCATCATTCTGTAATTGGTCAGCATGCGTGTCTTGTCACCGCCTTTCAGAAAGAATATTCTGTGAGAGCAGACTGGGAGTGCAGCTCAGGCTGCATGTAGTAAGTGCTGGCCTTGAAGAAAGAGGGGAGGTTGGTCCATGCTCGTCACGGGACAGTGGGACGGTGGCTGCGTCCAGAGGTGAAGACTGACAGTGATCTCTGTTCGTGTCAACTTTCAGTGCTGATCCGTGAGGTGGTTGAGAGGAGACTGGACATGTTCGAGCATAAGTACCCGACCCCGGGAAACCGGAGCTGGCAGGGCAGCTCTGGAGCCATGGCAGGGTCTGTGGGACCGTACGAGTTTCAAGCACCAGGCACCTCACCAACCCAGAACTCCTTCCTGGCCAAAGACTACCAGTCTAGACCAACCCCCGACAGAAGGTCCTTGGAGAGAGGGCTGTCTCAGGATGGAAGAGGGGTGGAGGAAGGAGACCCCACTGGGCAGAGCACCGACACAGGCGTGAAGCAGACGGCAGAGCTGCCAGACGTCTGGAACTCCGCGCAGCCGTGAAGCCCGTCAGCAGCCAAGTGGACGGTGCAAACAGAGGATGGCACATGAGTCCCTCCACACAGGGAAATTATGTCGGATTTAGTCAGCACATCAGCATACGGCGGACGGGGCAAGTTGGGTGTGATGAAATCCTAAAACTAATAATAAAACAAAGACTTCACGTAAACACTGACTTATGCTTCATTATGAGTTTCCTGCTGCCCTCCCCCCCTCCACACACACACACACACACACACATATCTGGCACACCTTCCTCCTCTCCCTCTCTGATATTGGGATTCCGTTCTTTTTTTGGACGGTTAAATCCAGTAAGGCCTGTGGTGGCTGGAATCTGGGTAAGGCACAAACCTGTGAGAGACGGAAACTCCAGTATTTTCGACTGACAGTGAGGGAGCACCCTGCACCCCATCAGCAGTGGGAAATGTGTGAAACCAGGGAAAACAAGGCCATCCCACCAGGTCCCAAGTCCCATGGGTGCCCCTGGACACCTGCTCCTCACGTATCAACTGTCTCATTGACCCAGCAGTTCACATTTACAACCAGAGCACAAGGAATCCACCCCCAGCAAGCTGCGAGCTGCTGCTGCTGCTGTCAGGGGCCATCCAGTTGGTGCTGACTCGGCGACCCTGTGAGCCACAGGAAAACGCCACGGGATGTGTGCCATCCTCACAACCATTCTGAAGTTTGAGCCCATTCTTGCAGCCCATCGTGTGCATCCGTCCAATCAGTGTAAGGCAAAAGCGTAATTAACGGGCTCTCAGCTGAGGAAGCAGTATCCACTGCTCTCCAGGCATTTCTAGCCTTACGCCATTGTCCATACGCTACATTGCCCTGTGTGTAGATGTGAATATGCCATCTGGCTGCCTGTTACCCCAAGAAAGCACGTTGTCTCTAGTTGTAGCTGTGTGGCATGGAGTTAATTCCAAACTCACAGGGGAGGGATGACTGCTCCACAGGGTTTCCTAGCTGCAATCTTCACGGGAGCAGATCACCAGGCCTTTTCTCCTGTGGGTTCAAACCACCCACCTTCCAGGTCATGGCCAAGTACTTTACCACCGCCCCATCCCAGGAGGCCTATTCTCAGTCAGGAAACGCGATTCCTCACGTTCCCAGTCTGCTCGTCTAGGGAGGAAAGTGTTACTGCTATGCAGGAAAAATGCTACTTCTAGGGGAAACTTCTTGGAAAGGACAGAGTCAACATTTTTGGACCAGGTGGTCTCTGGTACAACTATTCTCTTCAACCCCACCTGTGTAGTGCTGGAGACGCCATTGACAAGAAACAAATGAGTGTCTGTGTTCTAATAAAACTTTACCTATGAGATATGACAAAATACCCATTTATAAACTATCAAGGGCTCATGCGGGAGGGGGGAGCGGGGAGGGAGGGGAAAATTGAGGACCTAATGTCGGGGGTTTAAATGGAGAGAAAATGTTTTTGAGAAACGATGTACAAATGCGCTTTACACAATTGATGTGTGTATGGATTGGGATAACAGTTGTATGAGCCCCTAATAAAATGTTAAAAAAAAAAAAGAGAGAAAAAAAAACTACCTATGTTGTCAGGTGCTGGTAAATCAATGCTGGCTCACAGCTACCCTATGGACAACAGAATAAAGCGCCACTCAGTCCTGCGCCATCCTCGCAATTGTTCTTCTGTTTGAACCCATTATTGCTGCCACTGGGCCAATCCATCTGGTTAAGGACCTTCTCTTTCCTACTGGTCTCTCCTAATAAGGTGCCTAAAGTACACAGATGACGAGATGACATCTCACCATCCTTGCCTCTTAGGAGCTGTTAAGATTCCTCGGGTGGGAAATACCTCAGTCCTTGGCTTCCCTTGAGAAAGAATTCACCCTGAAGCCTGGTTTGTGATCCAAGTGAGTTTTTATGCAGCATGGAAGTTTCAGGTTTTACACAGGCACCCTCAGGGCACATCACACCCTCTTGTGGCGACCTGAGGCCAGAGAAACCCAGCCTAGCCGAGGAGCAGCTGGAAAAGGGGGTGGGCTTCAAGTTTCAGCCTTTATCGACTTCCTACTTCATGTGAAGGGGGCAGGGAGGCCTTGGCATGTAGAGAGACAACCCCCGGTTTCTACCTCTAGCTGCCTCACAGAGCCTTCTGGTTGTACTTCATGTGTATTAATGACGTACCTCCAGCTGAGGTGTGAAGTGAGAGTAGCTGTGATGATGCAGTTTGGCAGTTAAGTGATGAAATCGCCATTTGATGATCTAATGTGGTCATCCATTTTCATACAGTGTTGCTTTTCCCCCACAACTTGGTCTTTGGAACATCGCCACGTCAATAAGTGAGGGGCGGATACGTGTTCTCAGTGCTGTTAGCCACCGCGCCACTTCTTCTCTGTGGTGAACTCTGTCTTCCTCTAAGAAAGAGCACCTATGGCTTCTGCTGCTGAAGGGTTCCTCCCACCAGGGACCAAGAAATAGGCACGTGTTGATGTGATTGAACCAACCGTTGTCTCTTCCCTCTTCAGCATTCAAGTAAGGCTCAGGGATTCTATGATTTAGTAATGGCATTTCATTTCTTTTTGCACATCCCTACTGTAAAACATTTTTATGATTCTCTCCTGGCCCTCAGACTGCTGGCCATTTGATCGGTGGCCTCAAGGCCTTGTTCAAGGTATTGACACACAAAGATTGAAACACCTAGAGAGGTGCCACCTGGTATTTTTTCTGTATGAATGTAAATTTGTTGTTTGCATATCTAAATTTTGACCCAACAGTTTCATCTATGTCAGTTTCTCCCATCTTTTAAAAAATGCTGTAAGGTATTAGATAGTGTGGCTGTGTTATAGCATGGGGAATTCACCTTTGACTTCTTCATCTGACCTTATATGGAGATTTACCTCTGCTACTGAAAAACCATAAATTGTGTCCAGTCATGGTAATGTTGAGCAATAAACTTAAGGCTTCTGTGCTTGGAGGCTACAGACTGTCTGTAGGCTGTGTGGATTTGAAATAACTCACAACTGCCCAACTCTTCTCCTTAGTTTCTTTCTACCTTGGATACCAGGACTGTGTCTATCTTACAAACTGAGAAAGAACACCTTTCTCCATTGGTCAGAAACTGACATGTGATATGTTTACATAAAGCAGCAGCATATGGTTTACAAAGCATACTCATCCATGGATTATATCATCACTTAACCCTCACAGCAACCTTCTGAGGCACGTGTCTCATTTCCTGTGGAATCACGAGTCCAGTCAGACAGGGAATCATTAACTGAGTGCCCACTGAGGGCAGTGGTGGCTCAGGGGTAAGTCCTCCCCAGCCGCAGGAGAGACCCAGCTTCAATTCCCAGCCAGTGCACCTCATGCCTGGCTACCATGTGTCTGTCTGCAGAGGCTTGCATGTTGCTCTGATGCTGAAGGGTTTCAGCACGGCTTCCTTACTTAACATTAGGTTTATAAGACCCACCATTTTGACATATTTTGATTTCCTCAATGAAAATTACAGTAACCGCTTACTTTACCTTCTTCCATCTAAGTTGACTTTTATTCACTTACTGAGACAAATATACATCCAGATTCAGTTTCTTCGAAGCCTTCTGTGTTAGGCCAGGTTGACTAGAGAAACAAATTCAGTGACACTCATATGTATAAGCAAGAGTTTTCTATCAAGAACTAATGATACATCAAGAGAACTTCCCAGTCCAAGTCAAGTCCATAGATCCCATACCAGTCCATAAGTCGCTCTTCAGACTCACGCAGCCCATGCAACGAGGCAGAATGCAGGCAGAGCACTGGCCGGTGGGTGCAGGGTTGCAGAGATTCAATGGCGGTGGCCACATCACAGGGCTACTGCAAGTCTCCATGTGGCATCAACAGGAAGGTGGTGGTAGAGAGAGAGGGGAAGGTCCCAGGACCCTCCTTATGAGGTCACGCCCACAAGGAGGTACCATCAGGCTATATGCCCTGATTGACAAGCTAGACTCCACCCCTATATTTTTATACCTTCAAGTTGACACAAAATTATGTAACTACCACACCTTTAAATCTCAAAATCATCTGTGTGGTATACCAACGTCTATGGATACGCATCAATTGGACACAAATGTAAATTAAGTATTAATCCCAGTAAGTCAGTTTCATTCATGAAAGCATTTGTTCAGTAATAAATATAAGCATGGTCAAAAAATTCTTAGAAAGTAAACATCAATATAAAGATAGAAAATGCATTCCTCTTGACCCACCCAAATGAGCCTTACAATGTCGAACCCACTATCTCAAATGTATAATATTAAATATTATAAGTTTTATATAAATATATAGTATCACAGTTTCACTTGTTAGTTAATATTGTGTAATTAGGTCATTTCAAAATAAGTTGATTTTTAAAGAAAATGTGCCATTTCGTTCACATGTCTATTTGACACTTGGAGACAGGTATATAAGAAGTGCCCGTAAACCTAGTGTTAGGATGGACTAGGATGAAAGGCCTGGTGAGCTGCTTCTGAGAATTTACCAATAAAACCCTTGTGGATCACAACAGTCTGCTCCCATCGTCCATGGGGCTCGCTAGATAGCAGCCATCAACACTAACAATGAGAGCCTGCTATGCGTCAGGCACAGCTGGGAGTCCACAGACATAGCGGTGCACAAGATGCCCATGAACACGCCTGTGTATTTGACAGCTTGGAAGCCCCGGGGACAAAATAGAATTGCCCAAGCAGGTTTTCTAACTGAAGTTGTGTGTGTGTGTGTGTGTGTATGTGTGTGTAAGAGCTTTTTAAAAAAAAAGAAAGAGCTTTATATACAAGAGCAATTGAATATTGAGAAAACATCCCAGGCCAGTTCAGACCCAAGTCCATAAATCCAATATTAGCCTATATGTCCTATACCAGTCTGTAAATTCCTCTTTAGACTCACGCAGCCATGCAATGATGCCGAGTGCAGGAAGATCACAGGCCAGTTGGAGGATAGTCTTGTGGATCCAGTGGTGGTGGAAGGATCTCAGCGCTGGCGTGGGCCTCCACGTGGCTCCTCCAGCTCCAGGGCTCTCGTAGACTGAAATCTTCGCAGGAGCAGTTCGCCACATCTGTTCTCCCACAGAGCCATGGGTGAGTTTGACCTTCTGACCCCTAATCTATAATAGAAGCAAACATGTTTATAGCAGCATACACCTATACTATAAAAACATTCTTTGAGGGTTAT